AACTCATTAAAAAAATTTAAAAAAATAATAATTTTTTTTAGGCCCCTAAATAAAGTGAAAACAAAAAGTTAAAAGTGAAAAAAAAAAAAATAGTGAGTGGGCGAGCACGTTTTGACACCCCCATCTTTGACGATTTTTAATGTTGTTTTGGCTTAGCAGAATGGCTTCAAAATGTATAGGCGTGTAGGTTAGCAGAATGGCTTCAAAATTTATAGGCGTGTAGGTTACATCATAGAGAACTCACAAAACAAAATTCAGAAAAAAAAATTTATTTTTAGGCCCCGAAACATTTTTTGGCGGGGGCCGAACCTGGAGGTGTTCGGCCCCCGAACGGGACCCCGAACGCCCGAACGTTCGGGGGCCAGCCCGCCCCCCCCTGAACGTTCGGTCAAACAGAGCTGCCCGGTAAACTGTCGGCAGAGAGGGAGAAGAGGACAACAAACGAGGGGCTGTGGCAAACTGTTTCGTCGGAGTTTCACCGACTCATCAGGAGGCTGAACCCTCAACAGTCTGCAGAATCCCCTAACTGATTACACTGTAAGTGATAATCCACCTTAACCTCGGCTGTGGTTAAGCATCAACGACTGCCCGACAACTGATACCCTCAGGTGAGGTGGGCACCAAACACTGCCCTCAAGGTACCTGTGGCAAAAGTCAAAGCAGACTATCACTCGCCCACACCAGATGGAAAACTCTACAGACTGTCGGTTCACACCCCATCACAAGCAAGCAAAACACCCACGAAACAAAGAAAGGTCTGTCACAGCCAAAAAATACACTCCAGAGACGCCGCTGGCACTAGAGGCACCCCCGACCACTGCCGCTCGACCTGACCGGAGAATACTGTAGCAGGGTTAGCGAAGTCGTGGTATATATAGTCAAACAGAGCTGCCCGGTAAATCGTAGGCAGAGAGGGAGAAGAGGACAACAAACGAGTATATGTTGTTGTGCCTACTCGGCGACAATACGAATGGTGTTTGGACTTCGAAGTGCAGAAATTAACAAATTAATAAAAAAAATTATTGAAATTAATGAATTATTAAACTGTCAAAAATCGCTGAAATTCAGAAATTCCGAAAAAAAAAACAAGGAAGAAGGTGACCGACAAGTACGTTATACGTCTTCTTAATGTTCTTCTTCCAGGAAATTGGACACCTGTCCCCAGTGTCAAAACTGAAGGATTTGGAGATCATAATTTATTATCCCTTTGCTCCAACACAGAGATGCAGATTTCAGTTGGAGGATAAGCGTAAGCGCAAAGTCAAAAGTGCAAAGAAAGGAACCACTCAGCTGCAGATCTTCCGGTAAGACTTAGTGCAAAGAAGAAAGAGGGCAAAGTAAGTAGAAAGAAAGTTCAAAGAAAGTGCATAGAAAGTGGAAAGAAAGTTCAAAGAAAGTGCAAAGAAAGTGGAAAGAAATCGCAAAGACACGTACCTGTGTTAGTCCCAAGAGGGTGCCAATGATCGTCGTCCACAGGAAAACTTTTCCAAGCGGCAAACTCTTCAGCCACGTGTTGTAGACAGCCACACCCGCAAGCGACGCGACTGACGTCACCAGCCTCACTCGACCAAGGAACTCTGCCTGGAAGCCAAGCTTGTTTGTTCTGTTTCAAGTTTCGAAAGCGAACACAGTTAAAACTTAAAAGTACTACTAACAACTTAGAAGTCTGAAAGAAACAGTGGTAAGGGAAAAATTTTCAAAATAAATAAATAAATAAAAAAAAAAACACAAACAAACAAACAAACAAACAAATAGTGGGTAGTGGGTCTAGTGATGAATTAGCTTTGAACTTCAAAGTTCGGCGAGTTGGCAAGGATTACAGTTTTTTTTTCAACTTTTTTTTTTGGGGGGGGGGGTCAGACAGCAGGTCGTATGGGCTGAGCCGGAGGGCCCAGGTTGGAGCTTTGCAGAATGCTTTCTTGTTCGGGTTTAGGGTTAGGAATGTACAAAGGGAGGGGTGCGCTGGGCCCGGTTGCCAGATTTATTAAAAAAGAAGGAATAATGAGGAATTAAAAAAAAAAAAAAAAAGGAAAGTGAGCCTTAGTGAGGGGTATTGATAAAAGCTTTAGCGAAACAGAAACTCCAGAAAGTCGATTCTCCCGGGTCGAGTGAGTCAGCGACCCTCAGGATTCGCAGAGGCTGCGCATCCCCAGCAACGGCACCACATGTCAAGCATGTAGGTCTCCGCGAGTTAGCAAACAAGGGGACGAGTTAGGTCGTACGGCTCGTGGAGGGCCACATGCTCGACACCAGTGAGAGCAATCAACACTGTCATCTGACCCCCAACAATGCGTAGAATGAGTATTAAATGAGTATCAACCAAATAGAGTGCAGTACACTGAGTACTAATTACTGCGCAAAGCATTGCGTGTTCAGTCCTAACTGAGTACCAAGCACTGTACATTAATTACAGATTGACTTAACGAACCATTCCACACTGAGCACAGTCCACTGGGCACTAAGCAGCGTGCACTGTGAACTAAGCGTTGTGCACTGAGTACAAACGAAGTAAGCGAGTACAATTGCGCACGGAGCGCAGACTAAGTACTGAGTACAGACTAAGTACTGAGTACAAACTGAGTACAGACTAGGAGTACAGACCGAGCACTGAGTACAGACTATGAGTACAAAGTACTACAAACTGAGTACAGACTAAGTACTGAGTACAGACTAAGTACTGAGTACAGGCTAAGTACAGACTAGGAGTACAGACTAAGTACTGAGTACAGGCTAATACAGACTAACTAGTGGGAGGGGAAATTTGACAGCCTGCACTCTGTACAGTATGCTCAGCACTGTTGCAGAGTACCGGCTGAGTACTAAGCATTTTGCACTCAGTAATAAAGACTCAGTACTGGTAGGACAAAATTGATCGAGTACAACTGTGCACTCGGTAAAGACTAAGTACTGGTAGGAGAACATTGGTAGGAGAACATTGATTGAGTACCATACGTGGACTACATTGATTGAGTACCATACGTGGACTAAGTACAGCGATGAGTTCAACAAGTACAGCGCAGTGCACAGTACTGAACAGCAATCCAAACTAACCGTATGTGTAACGTCCACATACGGGGCGGATAAGGCGTACGTAGTACGTAGTCAATATGCTCACCAACCAGTGAGCAAACGCCCCTTCCCTCTTCTTCTTTATTTCTTCAAAGTATTATTTTTTAATGTGGGTACCACACCCTATCATTTTTGTATGCATGTGATTCTATCAGGATTCGAACTCATGATCCATTCATTGCCATTTGTGCTCATAGTACCATTCAGCCAAATCACCCGGGTCCTCTTTATTCTTTCTCACTCTTACTTCACAGCGATTCGCAGTTTCTGCTTTTGTTTGATTGCATCTGGATTCAAACACAGGTTTGTGTTTCAACAGTTCATTGGTGTGCCAACCGAGCTAGGCCTGTTTTTTTTTCTTTTCCTTTTTTTTAATGCAATAATATTATAATACCCCTTCTATTCTGGGGGCCAACTGCCCGGTTGCTTATCACCGGCATGCATGTTTTTACAACCGAAAGGGGGGAGGAGAGACGAGAAAGGGGGTCAGTCTAACCCTTGTGGCACTAGCTGACTGGCAAGGGGGGGACTGCTACAGGGCGGCCCTTTTTTTTCTCCTTTTTTTTCCTTTTTTTCTTTTTTTTTTCTTTTTTTTTTTCTTTTTTTTTCTTTTTTTTCTTTTTTTTTTCTTTTTCTTTCTTTTTTTTCCCCTAAACACACAGCCTCTGCTATTCTGGGAGGCATCAGTCCGGTTGCTTATCACTGGGAAGCATGTTTCACGAGCATCGAGGGAGAAAAAAGGACAAGACAAGAGAAAGGAACAGCCATACCCTTGTCGCACGAGCCGCCTAAGCAAGGGGGGGGGGGTACTACGGACCGCCCCCAGCCCAGCCCATAGGCCCACCTCAGGGATTACCTTGCCGGTCAGGAAGCTTGCTAGCAGCACCCAGGCACGCAGCAGGGTAATCCCGAGGGCGGCAGAGCACGGGGGGAGGGGTGGTCCCAACAGTCCCTCGGCCGCTCCCCTTTTTTTTTTTTTTTTTTTAAACACCAAATCAGAGAAGGGGAACAGTCTAACCCCGGCCGCTTTCATTTCACAATTCCTGTTTTTTTTTTTTTTTTCAGTGATTCGCAATTTCTATAAAGATAACTCGGGTATAAGTGCGCACAGTGGGTACACGGATGCAAAATCAAGCACAAACATTGCTGTCTCCGAAAATAACTCACATAAAGTAGAACATAGCTGTATCCGATGAGGGTGTTGCTTGCCAGCAGAAAATAAACAGTGTGGGAAGGAAAATCGATGGCTTGCGAATCGCATCAACGAGCTCCCTCGTTTGGCCCTTTGCCTTTTTCCAAAGCCCTGAGCCGTACCCGCCCTTCGATCCGGTTCCAATCCTGAATGCTGCATCATCAATGGTGAACGGTAATCCACTGGCTGAACGCGACACACCGGGAACCTTTTTCTCCTGAACCAGGATCGATACGGCCGTCGTAATAAGAGGAAGAGCAGACGTCACACCAAACACAAACCTGCAAAAACCAAGCATGCCAATTACAAAAAAAAAAAAAAAAAAAAAAAAAAAAACAAAAAAAAAAAAAAAAAAAAAAAAAAAAAAAAAAAAAAAAAAAAAAAAAAAAAAAAAAAAAAAAA